ATTCAAGAAGGTTTCTAGATTCCACCCACTCAAATACTTCTATCAAAATACTCACTACTTTATCCGAAGAGCACAAAAGACGAGTGGAAATTGGGGATAACTACCAGGGGTTATTTCAGCAGGACATGGGTCAAATAGCTGAGAATTTATTCACTGAGAAGAGATTGGATGATTTAGTAATTCTCTAAATGACCAAGGGTCTCCTGTATGTGTGTGTGTGTGTGTGCGTGTGTGTGTGCATGGCTGATTGCTGTCAATGTTTGTGTTAGGTACTTTTATGATCTATTAAGGTCAGGTTTTGCTAGATTTGCTGAGGCCCCCCTAGGGTCACTGTGCTTTTTGGAATAAGAATTTTTGTATTTTGAACTATAGCCATAACGCATGTTACAACAAATGAAAAAACAAAACAAAACCCCAACTCCCTGCTGTCGAGTCAGGTCCGACTCATAGTGACCCCTCCTGGGGTTTCTGAGGTGGTATCACTATGATTGCCCAACCTTCCTTCTAGGGAGCTGCTGGTGGATTTGAACTGTCAGCCTTCTGGTTAGCAATCAAATGCCTTAGGCACTACACCACCAGGGATTTTATAAATGGTAGGCTGGGCTTTTTCCAACCTATTTTCCTTGCAGTTTATTGCTCTTTTATTTGTTCCAATCCCCTGTGCTTTCTCACAGGAGAGCAAGAGGGTGGCTGTGTGGGGTTTTGCCTGGACGTTTTCATGCTTGCACCAAATGCATCCCTGTACCATGCATGCATTCCTGAACACCCACTTTCATACCAAGCATGCCCCAAAGATGCTCATTGTTACTTCAGAAATGTGTTTTCTCCATATTATTTTCAAAATTTAATAGTATAAACGGAATTTAAATTAAAGCCTGTCCATTTTCATATAAAATATTGATCACTTCAGAAGCTTTAAAGAGTCTGACATGGGAAATACATTTCTGCTTTGTTTTGTGTTATGAAGTATTGAGATTCTTTTTATTCAAATTATTATCCAGTTGATAGAAATCACCAGCCCTTTGTTTTTACAAAGCTTCACAGATCACTTTTAAGAATGTTATGAAGATTCAGGATAATGTGGGGGCTGCTCAGGGCATGAATAGCAGGGGTCCAGGAGTTGGTAGTGGTTAATGTTGATTGTACCAACCCTTTTACCCTTTCATTGCCAGTTAATTCTTACTGCAAGTTGCTAGAGACACCTACATCCTTACTTATTGGATGTGAGATCATGTGTTGCCCTTCAAGGTAATTGCAACCAGAACCTTTCACCAGGTAGCTCTTTTTTTTTTTTTTTAATTGTGATTTGGGTGAAGATTTACAGAGCAAATTCACTTTCCATACAGCAGTTCACATATACTTTATATACTTTGTCTCATGTCATTGACCACAGTTTACCACAATGCAACAGCTCCCCTCCTACTTCCTCCCCATAGTTACCTCTTCCCAGTGTCCATCCCTCCATACTCTCCTGCCCCCTGAGCTGTCTCCCTGTGCATAAGCAGCCCTTCCTTCTCCCATGATTGTTCTCTCCAAGGAGTGTATCTACTTGAGGTAAATGTTCAACTCATATGCCTGTACTTTGTTTGGCTGGAAACCACAGGTGTGGGTTCAATTCCAGACCTGAAGGGCAGCTAGGGGCCATAGTCTCAGTGGTTCCACCAGGTTCTATAGGACCAGCAAACCTGGTCCCCACTACCAGGTAGCTCTTCTTGCCTACCTACCTACACCCCTGTCCTCGTAGTACAACGTTCCTCTATTTTTTCTGGATTTGTATTTACAGATGGGCTCACTGCTTCCATTCTATGGCAGTGATTCTAGACCAAATCCTGCTTTTTAATTGCAAGTATTCCTTGCTGAATGGGTCACCCATTCGTGGGCTTGTGTACTTCTTTGTCTCTTCTGGCCTTGAGTTTTCCTGATATGAATTCCCTTCTCTCCATCTTATCTTACTCCCAGTATATAAATCTCAGTCTCTTTCTCTCTCTACCCATCTATCTAGCTATCCATCTATCTGTCCATCACACCTATCATGTCATATTTATCAATCTATCTATCCATCTACTCATCATCTATCTCTCTATCATCTAATTATCTATTCTATCTATCTATCTATCTATCATCTATCTACCTGGCTCCTATCATCTATCTCTCTCTGAGATTGGGCAGTTTATCACAATATTCATTTTGGGAGAATGTGAACATTTTTCTAGTTATCCTGTCCATTTTCCTAAACTCTAGTCCTGTATGGGATTTGTTTCAAGTCTGTTTCTCCATAACGCCCATTTTCACTTGGTCTATGTGAACTTCAGGTAACCTGGATGCATACTTGTTGGAGAGACTGGAACAGTCCGTGAGCTTAGCAGACTGTGAGCTTAGAGTGAAAGCCAATCCCTAACAATGGACAGAGGCCATCAGATAAAAGGGTGCGGGAATCACCTCATGATAACTGGGTAATAAAGAGAAAATTATTCACAGAAACCCATTTGGTGGCTTCTGAGTTATTGAAGTATGTTTTGAGCTTTGTGGGGCCTTCTGTCTGGAGGCGGTTTAGGCTCTGTAGGGCTGAAGGGGTCAGGGAGAACCCCAGCAGAGAGCAGGGCCTGGCTTTTACAGCTGGGACTGTTGGTGATGACCAGGACTAGGGCAGAAGGCAGTGTGGTGTTAGAAGCTCCCGACTGGGGACATTTCAAGTTCTCTCGGGAGACCAACCGTTGCAGCATCTAGAACTTGATTAGCCTCAGGAGGGAGGGTTGGGAAGTTTCTCTGACTTTCCCTTAACTGCATCCCTAGGGTTCTTGTGAGCCTGGGAAAATGTAGCACCTCAGGAATAGTGCTCTTTGGGGACAGAGAGGGAAGAGAAAGGCGGCAGAGAGGGCAGGAGGCAGCTGGACTCTCCTCAGCCCCTTATTTCTAGGCTTTCTCCTGAGCTCCTGTGTGAGGACAGTGTAGTTCCCTGTGAGTGGAGACAGCACAGTCCTTGTCTCCTGAGCATGGCCCCATCCTAGCAAGCAGGAGGTAGTCTGGGCTGACCTGGACAGCCATAGAACTTTGCATCCAGTCCCCTTCTCTGGAGGTGAGTGTTTTCTCAGGGGTTCAGAAAGAGGAGAGAATCATCCAGGGAGGGTCTGGGCTTGGACACTTGTAGCATGAGGGCAACAAGAGCCTGAGGAGTGGCACAGGGAGCTGCAGAGAGGACGGCTCGTCTCCGAGTCCCTCCTACTCAGCAGAGCGCAGGTCAGCTCTTCTCTGCCCCATTCAGGTTCCCTATGACCCTGCTTGCTCCTTCTCCTCATCTCTTCCTTACATCTGCTCACCATTTTGTAGGGGATCTGCAGGGAATGAGACTCCACATTGATGGCCAATGCCTTAGTGAAGAGTGGATACAGGGAGAGCCAGTCAGGATGTCCATCAGTGCATTCTTTGATCTGTTCTTTGATACATTTATTGATTTCTTTGTTCAGTAAATAGGAAAAGGTACCTAGTTGCTGTGCTCAGACTCTGTTCTTGCAATTGGACAGTGGAGAAGAAAGCCTCAGCCCTTGAGGTACTTGCTTCTAATGTGGGGTTTGCATGTCAAGTGAATAAACAAGTAAAAGTGGAATACAATTTCAGGTTTTGATGAAAGTCCATAAGAAGAACAATACAGCCTAGTCAAGGTCCAAGAGTAAAGGTGCACGTGTTTGTTGTTTTAGGGAGGACAATTGGGGAAGACCCAGGAGGAGGAGTCAGTTGAGCAAAGACCTGAATGAGCCCAGACATCCCATGGAGCTCAGTGGGATCCATTTTTTTTTTTTTTTAATTTTAATTTGATTTGGGTGAAGATTTACAGAGTAAGTTCACTTTTCATACAGCAGTTCACATATACTTTGTCTCATGTAATTGACCAAAATTTACAATGCAACAGCTCCCCTTCCACTTCCTCCCCATAGTAGTGGGATCCATTTTGATGTCTGCTAACTCTTCCTTCCTGCCGGGGCTCTGGAGAAAAGAGGCAGTCACAGACAAGCTGATCTGCTCTGGGGGCCTTTGGAAGCTGCTCTTTGGGACTGAGACCATGGCAGGTGGGATATGGGAGCAGAGTGCCCATTTTTAGGTCTTCAGCTTTGAGATCTGGAAAGGGAGAGGATGTCAAGTCTCCCAGCCCAAGTTGCCAACTGTGCAGGACAGATGAGAGTGGCTCTTAATCCTTCTGGAGTTCTCCCTCCCTCGTGTTGTCTGATGACATGAGAAATCAGAATTGCAGGGGTAGTGGCTACTAACTGGGCATTGGTGAAGCTTTGCCTGCTCAGAGGAGATACATCACTGAGGGTAGAGGTGGGAACATGGCTTTCTGCATAAGAGCAGAAAGGAAGAAAGGGATAATCTATCCCAGGGAGCCAGCTCCCCGAATCAGGGACAGAAGCTCAGAATAGCTCCTATCCTATGACAATGTCCTGGATAGACTCCATTTCCCTGGTAAAGAGACATGAAGTGGCATTTTTGACGTGAATGGAATGGCAGTGGAGACCACACTCAGATCAAAGAAGGGAAAGAAGTAACCAGGTCTAGGTGAGGTTGGTGAGCAGCACTTTCTTATAACTGTTGAGATGCAGCAGGGTTTTGGAGGACAAGGGCATCATCGGAGAGAAGACAACCTAGGGCATTCGAGGTGGAAGTGGTGATGGTATACATGACTGTGATATGGTCGGGGGAGGAGACAGGGTGGCCAGTTAGCACAGAGGTGGAGGCAGGCTGTCCCATGGCACGTGCATGCTGGGGGTACTTTTAAGCCTATACTTTGGGCATACTTTTTCAGACTTCTATCTTCATGTGTTATATAGACTCCTCATAAAACGTGTAGCACCAACCTTATACAGAGAACAGGAGATCATGCGTGGACCCTGGGAGCAGGAAGGGAGTCTGCCCTCAACCTGGAGACACCGTTAGTCCTCTGAGCTCAGACACAGTGCTCTTTCTCCTTTGCTTTTAGATTTCACAAGGAGCAAGAACACAGACTCATGTTGGGGAACTACTCTAGCGCAACTGAATTTTATCTCCTTGGCTTCCCCGGCCCCCAGGAACTACGCCATATCCTTTTTGTTACATTTTTGTTCCTCTACTCAGTGACATTAGTGGGAAACTCGGTCATCATCGTGATTGTGTGTGTTGATAAGCGTCTGCAGTCCCCCATGTACTTCTTCCTTGGCCACCTGTCTCTCCTAGAGATTCTGATCACCACAATAGTTGTCCCTGTGATGCTCTGGGGGTTGCTGCTTCCTGGGATGCAGACCATATCGCTGACTGCCTGTGTTGCTCAGCTCTTCTTGTACCTCTCTTTGGGGACCACAGAGTTTTCGTTACTGGGGGCGATGGCTGTGGACCGTTACGTGGCTGTCTGTAAGCCTTTGAGGTATAGCGTCATCATGAACAGTTGTACCTGCACTTGGGTGGTGATTGTGTCATGGGTGTTTGGGTTCCTGTTTGAGATCTGGCCCGTCTATGCCACGTTTCAGTTTACCTACTGCAAATCCAACGTGGTGAACAATTTTTTCTGTGACCGAGGGCAGTTGTTGAAATTGTCCTGTGATGACACGCTGTTCACAGAGTTCATCTTCTTCTTAATGGCTGTTTTTGTTCTTTTTGGTTCTTTGATCCCTACGATCGTCTCCTACACTTACATCATCTCCACCATCCTCAAGATCCCCTCAGCCTCTGGCCGGAAGAAAGCGTTCTCAACTTGTGCGTCCCACTTCACCTGTGTCGTCATTGGCTATGGCAGCTGCTTGTTCCTCTATGTGAAACCCAAGCAAACACAGGCATCTGACTACAACAGAGTGGTTTCCTTGATGGTTACCGTGGTGACCCCTTTTCTCAACCCTTTCATCTTCACCCTGCGGAATGACAAAGTCACAGAAGCTCTGAGGGATGGGGTGAAACACTGCTGTCACTTATTCAGGAACTAGGCCAGCCCTAAGGCAGGTCAATGAAGGAAAACCGTTGTTATGGGTTCTAGAGTCATCTGGAAAGTACTGAGTCATCTTTGTGCAACATGATAATCATAATTACCATAATAGTCTGTGTGCCACAAAAGGCTTTTAAGTTCTGCTAGTCATGGTTTTTAACATGGTTGAATGTTACACAAAAATTCGCTTTACTGTTTTTAATTTCTCTCTATGTACATGCATTTATATGTATGTGTGTGTATACATATTTTATAATCTCCATGCATTTTACACATTCTTTGCTAGGTACAATATGTCTCAGCTGTTGCGGTTAGTTGTCTTTTGGATCCGATCCGTGTCAACCTTATGCAAAACGGAAAGGAATGTTGCCTGGTCCTGCGCCATCTTCCTGATCTTTGCTGTATTTGAACCCATTGTTGTTGCTTTTTTGTCAACTCATCTCACTGAGCATTGTCCTTATTTTTGCTGACCCTCTACTTCATCCAACATGAAATAGACATCTCACAATAAAAGTTTTAAATATTAAATATAAATACAACATGTGTGATATTTGGACTTTGGAATGTTGTTGTTGTTGTTACGTGCCGTCGAGTCAAACCTGACTCATAGCGACCCCTCCTTGGGTTTCCGAGGCAGTATCACTACGGAAGTAGGATTGCCCAACCTTCCTTCCGAGGAGTGGCTGGTGGGGACTTTGGAATAAGGGAAGCAAAATATTCTCTGACTGCAGAATTGGGAGCCTACTGGATTCTAGGTCCATGGATCATCTTCCATAGCCTGTCCTGGGCTTTATGAGCTCTGCTGTGTGTCCACTATGCATTCCCTGACCTAGACCTCAAGCTCTGAAATCTTTCTTGATTTCCTGTCCCAAAATTCTATTATCTCAGTATTTTCAGGGGTCAGAGGAAGGTCTTGGAGAGGAGGCAGGCTTTCCTCTGAAGCCATTCACATCACTATGCCAGTCCCAATGCGTGAGGGCTGTGGAGTTGCTGTGCTGAGAGCTGATGGAACAGGGGACAGCTAGCCTTACCATGTGCTAGGCTGTGGGGGTGCTGAGAGGGAGAGAAAGGAGCAGCCTTGTTCTTCTCCCTGCATATGTAACAATTTCCACCTTGACCTGGTGCAGCCCACTTTCCTGCTCACTTCTACCTCCTCTCCAGCCCACTTTCTTTTCTCATTCCTGATTCCTTTCCATATCTTTCTGTGGTTCCAGTTCTCAGCTTCTTTTCTAAGGTTCCTTTGAATCTCCTCCCTCACAAACCCCAGTTTAACACACTACTGTCCAGCTTTCCAGCCACTGCCCTAACCACTTCACTGTCAAAATTGCCCGATCCCATCCCATCTGCCTGGGCAGCTCCCCTCTGTCCCAGTCAATGTGTCCATTTCTTAGTGGAGTATCCATCAGTGACTGGTTAAATCAATTATGTTTCACCCATATGAGGAGACTCATGAACAACTTGCGTTATGCAGACGACACATCATTGCTTGCTGAAAGTGAGGTTGACTTGAAACATTTACTGATGAAGATTGAAGACTACAGTGTGCAGTATGTATTACATCTCAATATGAAGAAAACAAAAATCCTCACAACAGGACCAATAAGCAGCATCATGATAACCAAACCAAACTCACTGCCGTCGAGTCGGATCCGACTCATAGTGACCCCTCCTCGGGTTTCCCAGGCGATATCACTACAGAAGTAGATTGCCCAATCTTCCTTCCAAGAAGTGGCTGGTAGGTTTGAACTGCCAGCCTTCTGGTTAGCAGTCAAATGCCTTAGTCACTATGCCACCAGAGCTCCTATCAGCATCATGATAAATGGAGAAAAGATTGAAGTTGTCAAAGACTTCATATTACTTGGTTCTACAATCAACACCAGTTGCCGGAACAGGTAAGGAAGGTGGGGACAGCTCCCAGGTGGCAGGGAAGAGCAGCACACAGGGCCAGCAGGAGCAGTTAGGGGAATGCCCAGGAAGTGAGCAAAGCGGTTGGAACAGCTAAGGGAGATGAACTTGTCTGTTGGTTTGTAATATTATGGTGGCTTGCTGTGAGATGGAGGCTGTGCCAGGAGGGATGCCCATGGTGGACTGGTTTCGGTGGAGCTTCCAGACTGAGACACAGACTTGGAAGAAGGAAGAGACCATCCACTTCTCAAAGAATTGGCAGTGAAAACCTTATGAATAGCAGTGAAATACTGATATATTACTGGAAAATTTTATGAATAGCCCTGAAACGGCAGCTATACACATGGACTACACCAGATGGAGCACACAGGCATCAGATTGACTATATCTGTGGCAAGAGGCAATGGAGAAGCTCAATATCTTCAGCCAAAACAAGGCCAGGAGCTGATTGTGGAACAGACCATCAACTACTCATATGCAAGTTCAAGTTGAAGTTGAAGACAATTAAAACAAGTCCACAAGAGCCAAAATATGACCTTGATAATGTCCCTCCTGAATTTAGAGACCATTTAAAGAGTAGATGTGATGCATTCAACACCAATGACTGAAAACCAGAGGAATTGTGGGATGACATCAAGAACATCATCCATGAAGAAAGCAAAAGGTCATTAAAAAGACAGGAAAGGAAGAAAAGACCAAAATGGATGTCAGAAGAGACCCTGAAACTTGCCCTTGAATAGAGGTGGCTAAAGCAAAGGGAATGACAAGATAAAAGAGTTAAGCAGAAGATTTCAAAGAGCAGCTTGAGAAGAGAAAGTCAATTATTATAATGAAGTGTGTGAAGACCTGGAGTTGGAAAGCCAAAAGGGAAGAACACACTCAACATCTCTCAAGCTGAAAGAACTGAAGAGGAAATTCAAGCCTCGAGTTGCAATATTGAAAGATTCTATGGGCCATGTATTGAATGATGCAGGAAACATCAAAAGAAGAAGGAAGGAGTACACAGAGTTCCTGTACCAAAAAGAATTGGGTCATGTTCATCCATTTCAGGAGGTGGCATATAATCAAGAACCAATGGTATTGAAGGAAGAAGTCAAAGTTGCACTGAGGGAAGTGGCAAAAGACAAGGCTCCAGGAATTGATGGGATACCCACTGCGATGTTTCAACAAACGGATGCCACACTACAGGCACTCACTCAGTTATACCAAGAGATTTTGAAGACAGCTACTTGGCCAACTGATTGGAAAAGATCCACATTTGTACCCATTCCAAAGAAAGGTGATCCCACAGAAGGTGGATATCATTAATATCTCAAGCCATGTATTTTCAATTGTCTCATATGCACGTGAAAGCTTGACAGTGAAAAAGGAAGACCAAAGAAGAGTTGATGCTTTTGAATTGTGGTGTTGGTAAAGAATGCTGAAAGAACCATGGACTGCTAAAAGAACTAACAAATCTGTCTTGGAAGAACTGCAGCTGGAATGGTCCTTGGAAGTGAGAATGGCCAGACTTCGTCTCACCTACTTCGGTCACGTTGTAAGAAGGGACCATTCCCTGGAGAAGGATATCATACTTGGTAAAGTGGAGGGTCAACGAAAAAGGGAAAGGTCCTCAACGAGATGGTTTGCCACAGTGGCTGCAACGATGGGGTCAGGTATAGCAAGGATTGTGGGGCTGGCACAGGACTGGGCAGTATTTCGTTCTGCTGTATATGAGGTCACTATGAGTCGAAGACGACTCAGTGACACCTACCAACAACATATGAGGAGACAGTATGAGCTGTAAAAAGAAGACTAAATGAGGAGACTCTTTTAATGACCAGGAAACATCTCTAAGCTGTCATGTGAAGGGAGAAAAAAACAAGTGCAGAACACTGAATTTTTATGGCACCATGTGTCTAAGAAAGAGATAAACATGAAGGTGTATGCCTGTTTGCTTGTATCTTCTGTTTGCTGTAGAAGATAACAAGAGGCTACTAGGTCATTACGTGTAGTTTGTGGCAGTGGGAAAGGGGCAGATGGGGTGGGGTTGGGAGAAAGAGTTCCAATGTAGGCTTTTTACTTGTGCAACCACGTGCATGTATTGCTTACACAGGAATAAAAATAATTCCATTTATTTTATGTCTTGAGGAATGTGTAATCCAGCCTCTGACTCCTTTTAATGACCTAGGAATATCTGTTCATTCACGCCCCTCCCTCCCCCACTCCCGGTTCTGAAGAATGATTGTGGTATGTGTAAACTCTGACCCTTTTGCAAAATCTTGAGAACCAAACTTTCAAGTAGGGAACAAATGCTCTTGGGATGCTGTTTGGAATTTCATTGACTTCACAGCTAACATTGCCAGGAATGCACACTGTTTTTGAGGTTCTCTTTCCATGAAACTCTCTCTTTCTTTAGACTTTTTGAAATGTTCTTCCTAAGTGTTGTGCACATCTTCTGTTACATGTATGCCTGATGGTCCCAAGCCCTCAGGTTCAACTACTCGGTCCCTCTGGGTAGCTGGCTGTGACCAAACAGTGACCACAACTTTGCCTGTTGTCAGCTCTACTATACATCTTGGAATTCTGATCATTCACATGAACTTATAGGACCATTGTCTGCCAACCCTATATATGATCTTGGATACACTCCCCATTTCATAGACATACCGAATCGTTTAGCTTGTCCACCTGTCTATCCATCCATATACCCATGT